ATCAGGAACGATTTGTAAAACCCTTTGGCATAATCTTCTAAAGTTCCTTCAAACATAATTTTTGACTCCTCTGGACATGATTGTCGAGGAGCCATTTACTTTTAAAATTCATTGCCTCTTTTTAGAGGAGTTATTTATTCTTCAAAAGTTGTTAAGCCCTCTGCTTAAAAGAGCTTTATTTATTTTTTAAAAGTTGTGAAACTTCTGTTTAGAGGAGCAATTTATTTTAAAAGTCATCGAACCTCTGTTTAGAGGAGCTTTATTTTTTTTTCCAAAATCGTTGAACCTCTAATTAGAGAAGCTTTGTTTATTTTTTTAAAAGTTATGGAGCCTCTGTTTAGAGGAGTAATTTACTTTCAAAAGTTGTATTGCCTCTGTCTAGAGAAGCTTTATTTATTTTTCAAAGTTGTGCTGCCTCTGTTTAGATGAACAATTTACTTTTAAAAGTTATGATGCCTCTGTTTAGAGGAGCTTTATTTATTTTTCCAAAGTCGTTAAACCTCTGTTTAGAGGAGCTTTATTTATTTTTCAAAAATCATTGAGCCTCTGTCTAGAGGAGCTTTGTTTATTTCACTCAAAATCGTTAAGCCTTTACTTAGAGGAGTTTTGATCAAAATTTTAATCAAAAAACAAAAACAAAAAAAAAGCAAAAAAAAGTGTCAAGTTGAGTCTTGAATGGGTGTCTACATCTTTGCACAATTCCTGTTTCACAGAAAATGTGCAAAAAAAAGCAGTTGTAGACACTCAATTTGGTTCAGGCCCAGATCAATTGGGCCTAGTCCAAACGGGTAATATTGGGCTCATTTTTTTAATTTAATTTAATTTAATTTAATTTAATTATTTTTCATTATTATTATGATTATGATTATTACTATTATTATTATTTATCTATTAATATTTTTATTATATTTTATTATTTATCTATTATTTTTATTTTTATCTTTTTTTATCAATTTTCGATTGGGATTAGGATTAGGATAAAAAAAATTAGAATGAATTTGGCCATGAATTTGAGGCTAGCAGAGTTGAGATTTGATTCAAAGATTGAATCCAAATCCAATAGGAAATTGGGATTAATTAGAAACTCTTCTAATTAATCCCTATAAATAGATCCATAGATCACACAGAAAGAAAATGGAGAGAAAACAGAAGCAAAAAAAGGTTTGAAGGCAGCTCTAGAATTTTTAGGAAAATTTTTTAGAATTTTTTTCTGAAAAATTTCTGGAAATTTTTCAGAATCCGGTGACTTTTCTGACGGCATTTGAATTTTTCGATAAGTTTTTCAACCAACTTTAAAGTTTTTTATGTCTTTTTCCAGATTGTAGCAAAACATTCAATCAAAATCTAGGTATTTTTAGAGAGAAAAAAGAGAAAAAAAGAAGAGAAAAAAGAGAGGGAAGAAAGCCATCTGCAAAAAAATAAAGGTTTGCGACTTTTATACCCTGCTAAAATGATGTCATTTTGGTGTTAAAAATCCCAGAAAATTTGCACGTTTCTGTTTGGTTCAACCCAACCCGATCGCAACCCGATTCATTGACCTGCATCCCAGTCAACCATCCTAACTGAGTCGAGCCGAGCCGATTGCCCCGAGTCGCATTTTGGACCGTGATTTTTGTCTTGAGTTGAGCCGCTTCTCAGCCTCAGCTGAGCGGTTCCAATATTTTTATATATTTTTTTTATTATTATTATTTCTTTTTTTTTTATTATTATTATTATTATTATTATTATTATTATTATTTATTAGATTAGAATTATTTGGTATTCTTGATTTTATTTTTATTTTATTTTATTTTTTTAATGATTTTTCTAAAATAAAATTCCAAAAAAACAAAAAATATATTTTTGAGAAAAAAATATTTTTAAGGAAAAGTTGAAAGTATCAACTTTCCTTAAAAATAAAAGTTCTAAAATGAAATTTTCAAAAAAAGAAAGAGTATTTTTAAGGGAAAGTTGAAAATATCAATTTTTCTTAAAAATAAAAGTTCTAAAATAAAATTTTCAAAAAAAATATTTTTAAGGAAAAGTTGAAAGTATCAATTTTTCTTGAAAATAAAAAGATTTAAAAAAATATTTTGAGGAAAAGTTGGAAGTACCAATTTTCCTTAAAAATAAAAATTATCAACAAAAACATTTTAAGAAAAAGTTGAAAGTATCAATTTTTCTTAAATTCTCAAATGTTTTAAGAAAAAGTTGAAAGTATTAATTCTCCTTGTACACAAGCAATGGGATTTTGAAAAAGGATTTATATCAAAAGTTGAATCATTATTCCTTATTTTATTTTTTTTATTTCTTTTGTTTCTTTCTTTTCTTAAAATTTTTTAAGTAATCCGACGACGGAGCCTCTGCAAGTGAAACAATAGTTTTCTTATATACTCTTGATGTGAGAGAATTTTTCTTAATTTTTTGCCAAAAGTATTGGAGTTAATTAAGAATAATTTTTAATAACTAATTATTTGGTAATTTTTTTAAGGTTTATTGGATAACATGAAATTAAGTTGGTACCATTTTTCGATGGGCGTTGTGAGGATGCTATAACCTTCCTCACACGTAACCGTAGTCTCGAACCCTATTCTAGTTAGTAGACCTGAACCTATTCTTTTAGGGACCCTTAGTCAAGCTTGTGTGTTCCTTAAAGGGATAGATTTTTTAGGTGTCCAATCGCACCTAAACAAAAAAAATTGGTGGTGATTCCTCAAATCAATATCTAGCGATAGATCTTCGGATCTAGACGTTATGACAATAAGTAATTAGGTTTATTCTAAATTTATTATTATGTAATTTTATCGTTTACGAATGATAAAAATTTAGATGAAGGAGTTAGAAAAAAATAGATTCAATTACCTATTTAATTTGGTTTTTTATTGACTTAATCAGTTCATTGGAAACCCAATTTAATTGCACATGTTGAACCAAACAAGCCATCGTTTCAATTGAACAATCCTTTATTCATTGAATGTAACCTATGTTTGAAAACTTCGAGATCGAGTTTAACAATTTCATGATAAGGTTTGATGAGTCCAAACTTGCCACCATCTCAATTTTATGTTCACCAAATCTCTTCAAAGGAAGAAAATGTGTATAATCAATCTCATGCATACTTATGCTTTTAAAAACTTGAGAAATTTATTGATAGAACATTGATTCTTAAAGTAAAAACATCTAGGAATAACTTTGTTTCAACTTCATTTGTTTTTTTATAAGGTCTATCATTTTCTTTTAAAACAAAGAAGAAGAGCATGAAGATAATTAAAAATAATTTTCAAGATTTAGCTTTTGTGGGGTTGTTTAAAGGGAGAAATATTATATATTTATTTACTATAACTATTCATTTATAAAATATTATTTATTTAGAATTATGTTTGTCAGTAGAATTAGAATTATTTTAAGTTTATTATTACGAAGTTTATCATTTATTAATGATAAACATTTAGTTGAAGTAGGGAACAAAGTAAAATTATAATATAAACTGATTTCATAATTAAGTTTTGTAAGGATGAAAAATTTTAATAAATAAAAAATTTTTCTCTTTAAAGACACTTTATTCTCTTATTTTTACTTGATACATAATGAGTTTGTTTTTAATATATTTTTAGTGTTATTTTATAACTTCACAAACAAGATTAAAGATATTATCATATAAGAATGTGGTAAAGACATATAATGGTAAAAAATGTATAATAATCTTTTCTCATCTCAAAGCTTTCAGTAGACAACTAAATGTATTTTTATCATTTATGTTGACCTGACATATTAGGTTGGTCTGACATTATTAGTGCCACCTCAAATCAGCTCTATCCTAATTTTCTCTTTATTGTTATTCTCAATTTACCTATAAATATGAAAACTTAGGCGCCATGAAGTCAAATTCATTCCATTTATCTCTTTCTCTCATTTCTATTTTTTCATTTTTTTTCGACATGACCCTTTCTTCCTTGTATGTCGAAGTGCAAATACAGGGAACATCTCTTACTTTTACCTGTAATCGTCATTCTCTTCTGTGTTTACAAAAACACCATACAGGTCGAGCTCAGCACAAATAATATCTATCATTATGTTAATTCTGTATGTGAAGTCTAAAAATTTTACTAACAATTAATTAGATAATTTCTCTATATATATATTGCTATTTTTATCTTAGTTTTAACTTTATTTTTTTATCACAAAATCTTCTCATGGATCCTTGCATGATAATAAGAAATGTTTCAATGTTTGATTGAATTCATTGATGCCATTTATCTACTTTTGCATGAGAGGCGTAGACTTGATGAGTGATTTCTTACATGTGTAACTAAGAATAAATACCCTATCAAGATTATTTGGAGGCTATGATTGCGTGTGAAAACTTACTTCATGGTTTGGATAGTTACTAACAATGAACATTTTGACATAGTTATTACTTCTTAGCTGGATAATAATAAATGAATTATTCTGTTAATATCAAAATTAATTGGGATTAAATATAAATTTTTCACTTTTATTTATGTAAGTGGTCTAACTTTTCCATTAATATTTCAATTGATGCAGTTTTACCATTATATTTTTAATTTTGGAACAAATTTACCGTTATACTTTAAATTTTAAAGAAATTAAAAAATATTCAATAAAAATTCTATTAAAAACTATTTTATCATTAAAAAATATATAAAAAAACATGGCAATAAAAAAAGTCAAGATTAACTAAAAAAGTTTAACTAGATAGTATATTAAGTAAAAAAAAAAAATCATGATGAACAAGAAAAAAATTAAATAAAAAGAAAAATTCGGATTACTTAATGATTAATTTAATAAAAATATCATGATAAAAGAGAAAAATTAAAAAAAAAAAGTTGTACTTGAAAGAAAGGTTTGCTTGTTGCTTTGAAATGAAAAACTACTAACATAATTGTAGTATTATGTTAATTGTGGATTTTTTTTTATCAAAATAAAGCAATAAAGGCAAAGAAAAATTAAAGGAAAAAAAAAGTCTATGAACAAAGCAAAAGCAAGGGCATGACAGTAACTACAAGTACACCATACCCAAAGAAGCCCCATATGCTGGACTCAATATAACCACATCAAGCTCTGCGTCTCCAGAGAAGAATCTTTCCATTTCTTCTTTACGGTCTCTGCCGCTTCCTTCTTCATCCCTCTTTCTGTCCCAGCTTTCCTTCCCTTTGACGAAGCTGAAGAAAATTTTGACGAAGCTGAAGAAAATTTTTAACTTCTTCTGAGTGATGGGTGTGAGCTGCCGCTGTTCCCACACATCCCATATCACAGAAATCATCATCACTAGCTTCTTTCGCCACAAGCCTTGAGAAGTAGAGAATTTTATATTCTTTAAATCAAAGAAACCAAAAACCAGGGTGACCTTTTTGTTTATTTTGGATCATCTGATGGTGAGGATTAAGATAATATCTTGAAAAACAAGAAGATTGGTCCTTTAGCTTGAAATTCTCATGGCGGGTAGGAGGGTCTGTCCTACTAATACTAGTACTGATGGTGGTTCTAACAATCTCTCTCTTTTACTTCGAAGTCAAAGGGTTGCTTCCTCTTCTGAGCCTCTTGATCCTCTTTTCATTCCAGGCTCTTCTCCTTCTTTTCTTGGTATTCTCTCCATCCTTTTCTCAATCTGGATTTCTTTGAAAATCCTTACTTTGGGATAAATTTTGCAACTTTAACTAGAAAATAATAATAAAAGAAAAATAACCCCAGTTGTCAAATTGGCTAGTGACTAATAATGTGGCCGACAAGACATTAAAAGATGTTAACTTTTACTAGGACTTGCTTCAGTTTCAGGTACAAGATCGATGGTAAGCTTTGAAGATTTCCATCGAACAAACAGAGCAAACAGATCATTTTTTAGGACGTTTGATCAAGAAGACAATGGAGATGAAGATTTAGATGAGTATTTTCATCAACCTGAAAAGAAAAGACGGCTCACAGTTGACCAAGTCAGGTTTCTAGAGAAAAGTTTCGAGGTCGAGAATAAGCTTGAACCTGAAAGGAAAATTCAGCTGGCTAAAGAACTTGGATTGCAACCCCGGCAAGTTGCCATATGGTTTCAAAACCGCCGGGCTCGATGGAAGACAAAGCAACTGGAGAAAGACTATGACACTTTGCAAGCCAGCTATAATAGCCTCAGGGCTGACTATGATAATCTCCTCAAGGAGAAAGATAAACTAAAAGAAGAGGTTATTTGCTTTGTACCGTTGACCTCAATACAATTCTACATGTTTCAATGATTAAGGTTCGTTTGGTTTTGCTACTTGATTTTCATATGGTATATTACAATTCGTTAATTTTTCCCCCCTTGAAAGCTCTGTTAAATTCCTGTCTAATGAAGTTTTCTGTGTTTATTTTTCATTTTTTGATTTTCAGGTTCTTCAGCACACAGATAAGTTGCTTATGAAAGAAAAAGAGAAGGGGAACTCTGAAGTTTCTGATGTGAACACATTGTCACAAGAACCACCACAAAAGCCTGTTGTTGCTGAAGCGGCTTCCGAGGGTGAAGAGTCTAAGGTTTCACTGGTGGCCTGTAAACAGGAAGATATCAGTTCTGCCAAAAGTGATATATTTGATTCAGACAGCCCACATTACACTGATGGAGTTCATTCGTCACTCTTGGAGGCTGCTGATTCATCTTATCCTTTCGAACCAGACCAGTCTGATTCCTCACAAGATGAGGAAGATAACTTGAGCAAGGGCCTGTTACATCCTCCTTCATACATCTTCCCAAAACTTGAAGACGACGATTACTCCGACCCGCCTGCAAGTTCGTGTAATTTTGGATTCCCTGTTGAAGATCATGCCTTTTGGTCTTGGGCTTATTAAGTTATATCTCATAATCCAATCCTGATATAAATATGATCTTTCTTGTGTATTATTACTTCTTGTTTAAAGTCATCTTGTACTAGTAACTATAAAAAAGCAATAAAAACCCAATCAATGGCACCCCAATACAAATGTGTGTTGGTGGTGGGTTTTGGTTGTAGTTGGAAAAATTGGTGGTTTTTTTGCCCCCTGTAATCTTGGCTTTTTTGGGGGTTCTTAGAGTTGAATGAAGGTTTTTTTTTTGGCTTTACTCCCCTGGAATGTAATTAAATAACATCTTTTCTGAGAAGAGTGGTTGGAAACTGTTGTCCATAATCGGTTCTTTTGGTTGCAATTTTGTTCATGCTTTAAAAAGTGAGAATGCAAACCTGAGGGCTGAGGCAGGGTGGAGATCATTGGTTTAAAGTCTTGCACCGGAAACTTTGTTAAAAGAAAAAACAAAATACATCCCATTCTGTCTTTTGCCTGCCATGATCATTCTGAAACCAAAATTCAATGTGCTAAAGATCAAAATAAAAGTTGGTTTTTAATTGTGTTACTGTAAAGCTGAAAAAGTTTTGTATACCATATGAAAAAGCCTATGAATGTATTATGTGCAATAATAGATGCTTTGATTTACATAATTTCTGTAGATTCTGTATAAATACTTACTCTACAGTTTCAGTTGCTTTAATAACGAGCTGCATTAATGTTGCAGAACAGTTTGTTGCTTGACTTCCCGTCGACGTATCAATGATTTTATCCTTGGGATTGGCTACACAAAGGGAGATATGTGGATTTATTATTGTGCAATCTGAATTATTGGATGAACTATTGAGGAAACACTCCATGTGAACGGTTTTACTATACCATAAAATTTCATTATGGTTTGTGTGTTTTTTCTCACTATTCTTTTGGTTTGCTTGAAATTGAAGGAACTGTAGGATAGGCAGGACAATCAAAGGAAGAAAAATCACATAGATGAAATAGTAGTAATTGACACCCATTGTTTTATTAAATTCAGAGGGGAGGAATCATAGAGGGAAGAGTTTAGGTGACAAAAATTTCATAGGGAAATGCCTATGAAAACGAAATTAATGAATTGGATTATTTCCCCAATCAACATTTTGTCAGTGGCCCCATTAATCAAAAATTGGAAGGCAACCTTATCAAAATGGATGGTTCATATTGATGGTGATACTTCCACTTATCCTTTGGAAGACTTTTGATCTTAGCCATTTGAGGAGCAAACTGATTAAAGCTTAAATTTGAGTTCTCCAAGCAAGCTTTTGAAAAGACAATAGAAATTACTACATGACATGGTTTATTATTGGCTAATAATTTTAGATTGCACCTACCCACTTCTGTAAAGCTTGCTCATCTTAGTGTAAAATAGTCAAAAACAAAGAAAAATTCCAAGGTAATCATGTAGCTTAGCTAAAACAACAAGAATGGCATAAGTCAATTTGCATATAGCAATAAGTTCTATTATTTGATTTTTTGAAAAATAAAATCTATTATTTAAAAAATAAAGGAAAATTTTTCAAAATAAAATTATTTTTATAAAATCTATACTTCTTTCTCTCAAATAAAATATTTTATTTTTAAGTTTTTAAATTATTTTTTAAAAGTAACAAAATATTTTAAAACTTTTTTTAAAATAATGAGACGTGAGTGTCTCAATGCCATGTGTGGCACACGTGGATGCCATGTAAGAATTTTAATTAGATATCTTATGATGGCATGATGTGATGACATTATTTGTTAATTGCTTCAATTAACGTGTTAACTCCGACTGTTAGATTATTACACGAAATGCTAACATATGTATTACATTATATATCTTACTTTAAAAGTAAAAGTAGCACATTAAAAAATTTCATAATATACGGACCAAATACGATATTAATCATATTTTTAAATAATAGTAATTTTCTTCCTAATTTAATTTCAATAATTTAAATCCTTTTATCATTTCCCATAATCAAGCTCTACTTTTCAACCCATATTGTAAAAGTAAAGGAAATATTAAGTCCATGATCTCATGCCCACAGATTGTTTAAGAATATTGGTTGGTGAAAGTCAAATTGGCCTTGCCTTCTGGCCATTTATTAATTATCACAGCAAAACTTCTAAATTATTTTATTTAATTTTTTTTACTTAATAGTTGAGCACCACACACAAAGCCATTTTTTTTTTATTTCTTTGATTGTCAAATGAAAGTGACTTTGAATTTAATTTTTGCCATAATTGTCAAACAAAAAAAAATATATACAAATGGAATGAGCTAGTTATCATCTGTTTCAACGCTTTATGATGTGTGGAAAGAAATTAATTCCCTAGATAAGTATATTTATTTAATGTGACTTGCTATTAAAGCATGGTATATAATTCATGACGTGGTTGATAATAATGACAAGTGAATAGGGTTTCAACACTATGGAAGCATCTTATTCACATATAGCTTATCTTGTACTTTGCTCTTGTTCAAAAACTTGTGAAGAGATCATAGATAAGAGCGATTAATGATAAGTTTTAATATGTATTGTTTTATAATTTATATAAAAATTATGTTTAATAATTTATATTGATATAAAAAATATAAATATATTTTTTTATTTTTATTAAAATTTTAAATTATATTATATTATTTTTATATTATATTATCATTTTACGTATAAAATTTAAATTACCAAATTTATGTATAACTAATCGACCGTTTAAATCTAAAGTGAGCAATTAAACTTCTAATATTATATAGATAAACTATTTCAAAAATGATATATTTATGTATTGAAGAGTAAACATTAAAAACAAAAAAAAAAGTTTCTTTTACTTTTATTAATTAAAAGGGCAAAATGGTTTTGTTGAAATCCAATTCAAAAGGTTTAGATCGGGAAAAGTAGAGGTCGGTGAAAGGCAAACAATAAACAATGGGTATAATTTAGCGGTAATACAGATTAAATTTAATTTAGTTTTTTTTTTTATAATATGTAGTATTATAAACTTTTAAAATTTGATATTTTTATATGATTTAATTTAATTTAAATTAAATTTTAATAGTTTGATTTGATTCGATAATTTTTAATTTTTAAATTTTATATATTATTTTAATATATTTTAATAATTTTAAATATAAAATAATTATTTTATTTTATAAAAATTTAAAAAGATATAAAAATTAATAAAATTATTTAATTGATTTAATTTAATTTTTTTATTTTTTATCCAAATTTAATATATATTTTATATTCGAATTTATTCTAAATTAAATAAAAAACTAATTTAAATTAAATAAAATATTATAATTTTAATTTAATTTTTTTAATTTTTTTCTCCCCTCAGTTAACTTGTCCTTTACGGCATTTATCAAAAGATCAAATGATTGAGCTCCAAGTGTCCACATTTCTCGAAGAACGACGGACCTTTTTCTTTTCAGATTTCCTACCGACCATCCTAAACCCACATCGGTAGGGCTTCTACCGTTGCCACCCACGTGTAAGGTTATGATTAAACCTTACTCCTTACCTGCGTCAAACATAGCAAGCATCGCCATTAAAGACAGCGTCCAATCCACCAAAGCCAACCCAAACCCCTTCTATGGAATCTCCACTGCTCCTGGCCCCACCTCGACGCGGATGTTTCTTGCTACGTGGTACCTAATCCGTGATTCCCATTGGCTAATGATCGGGTCAAAGACATATGGGTCCCACTGCCGATATTAATTTTTTTTATTTTTGGCTTTCTTTCTTCTGTCTTCTGAAATCAGAAAAAATGTTTTTGTTCTCTTGTCAAGGGAGAGAGAGGGATACAGAGATAAGCACAAGCACGGGAAGGTGTGGGCCCAGGCTATGAGGGGAGAGGTGTACATGACAATGACAGCACGGATCTGTCCATGTTTTCTATCCAGCGATGCCACACGTGTACAGTTATCTGGTGGCCCGACTTTGCACGTGTCCATCAGCTGCTGATGTCTGTGAGCTTTGCTGATTTGGATTTTATGGGATGACATTCACATCACACGTATGCCCACCTAAGGGTAACTAAAGAGTGAAAAAATTCCAACGCAAACTCATTTGAGTTTTATTATTTAAAATTTAATTAAAATTTTTTAATTCTTGATTCAAAGTAAAATTTAAATTATCTAAATTAATTTAATTTAATTTATTATTAAATAAAAAATTTATTTTCATGACTTCAAATTTTATTATTTATATTCCAATTTGAATTCAAACTTAAATTCATATATATATATATATAAATAATATAATAAATTTTTAATTAAAATAATTAAAAATATATATTAAAATATAAAAATTTTATTAAATTCATGAATAATTTAAAATAGATATTAAAAAACTCAAATTTCACTTATTTAATAAATTAAATTATTTGAGCTTAAACTCAAAATCAACTCAATAATAATCGAATTAAATTTAAATTTTATTCAAATTAATTTTAAATAATTTATAAATATTGATATATCATTTACACTTATAATCAAACTTTTTTTTTCCTCGAATGTACCTATTTTAAACTTTCTATTGCATACAATTTTCTTTTTAACAAAATATGAACTTTAATTATAATTATAATAATATTTTAATTTGATAGTTATTAAAAATAATTTATAAAAATTAATTTTAAAAATTTTAATCCACTTTTGAATCTTACCCTTAGGTTGTGTTTGAATGAGATATTTCAAGAAAAAATCTTATTTCAATCAAAATTTCAAAAATTAATTTACGTATTTAGATAACAATGAAAAAATTTTAAAAATCAAGAAAAGTTTTAAAAGTAAATTTGACTTTAAAATTTCAAGTGATTTTTTTAAAATTTTTAAAAATCTTTTTTTTACTGCACATAATCTATCATAAAATATAAAATTATAAAATCATTTTATATAACTCTAATATATATTTTATTTTTTCATGCTATTAATAATATTTATAAAATTTTATAAATTTAGTGGTACCATATTGCACATATATATATATATATATATAGAGAGAGAGAGAGAGAGAGAGAGAGAGAGAGAGAGAGATTAGTGTTGTCTGATCATATTTCCAATGTGTTTGACCACATGATCCATGTTTAACCATTAACCATATATTTTATGCAAACAAATCTTAACTTTAATTTAGCAAATGCTAATTAGTCCAAATTAAAAAGAAAAAAATAAAAAAAAGGAACAAGCTATTCATCTTCTAGCTGTAATCTAATAACTCCCATGTGAAAGAAATGTGCATTAATGTGAGATTTCCATGTCTGAGAAATGTGATCTGTTTTTTATAGTTGTAAGTTTACATCACATGGAAGATAGGACACTCTCTGCTCATAATTGATAAAGCTTCGCACATGCTTGTTGTTAAATGTTGATACCATTGTTTAATAGAAGTTAACAGTTTCAGAAATTAATCTCTTGATATTGTACTATTTCTGTCTGATAATGAAATCTGCTACGAAACTATCAAAAAGCTTCAGACTTTTCTGATCGTACAAGATTGATTTGCCTTGGTTTGCTTTCTTGAACCCTTCTTTTCTTCGGAACTTGTGTGCCTGTTTGCGGATGCTGGATCATTTTCCTCTGCCCGTTCCCATTTATTGCAGTAAGCGTCCGTTGGGTGCTTTGTGCTGTCCAGTGGTAAACTATGGTTACATATTGGGTGGTGTTAATGAGTTGAACGGTTAAGAAATTAAGAAAAATATGTTAAAAATGAAAAGTTTAAGGTGTCAAAGAAAAAAATTTTGAGAGTTGTTGTTATTTAGCTCCGAACTGAGACCTGAAATTATAAAAGAAAAAGAATGTAATTAAGAGTAAAGGTATGAGTGTTTTCGGTGTTTATATTTTTACACTCGAGTTAGAGATCCGTAAAAAAGATAGAAAAAAAAAAGAAAAACAGAAAAATAAAGGAGAAAGTTTGATCCAATAGATAGGATCTAAGTGATTCCGTTGAGAAGTCTATAGATTAGACTAACGATATAATCAAACTGACATGATATTCAAAAATAAAAAATATTTTTAATTATTTGTTAACAGTATGTAATGAGATAAAAAATCAATATATTTTTTGAATTAAAAAATACCCATAACAGAAGTGATTAGAAAAAATTTTTTCTTTAAAATTCATTTATTTTTTAAATTTTGGAATGTTTACTGACAACTTTCCCTTTATTTACATCCGCCACGGGCGTCAGGTTTTGGCATCAAATTTTACCTGTGGGGCTATGCTTAATGAAGATCCCAATTAAATGAATTTCCACTAAGCATTATAGATAGATATAGACCGAGAAAGACACGTAATAAGATTGAGTCGAGTCATTTCTTGAAAGACAAATAAGCTGAAGAATCATCGGATATATAGTAGTTGGTTTCCACTGGCTGGTAAATGTCAACCAAGTCATTCATCAAACAATTAACCATCATGGTTCACCAGATCATGGTTATCTACTTTTGCTGAAAGAGGAAACTGATAGACGTGTGAACAGGAAAATGAAGAACAAGAACTCTTCTCATAGTATTTTTTTTTCATTCGGTGAATTTTTAGGGAGAAAATTATTAATGAACAGAATTGGCGAACCTGCAGTTGCATTGATGCAAATTGAATTTGGAGATTCTCGAATTAGCATCAGATATGCAAATGGATTGTCATGATAGAATATAAAGTTGAAGATTGAGGACACATCAACCAATGAGTACTACCTGGTGGATGGGTGGAACTTGTATTGATCATGGAAGCTATGGATGCAGCGAGGGCAGCATTTCTAGCAAGCCAGCCAGGCTCAAATATAGAGAATGCCAGAACACCAATTGCTGCACAACCTATCTGAGCCATGAACATATTGAACGTGTGCAATATCGTAGGGGTTTTCATGACTTAGCAAAATGGTTTATCTCAAAAAAATATAATTATATACACAGTTAACAGGCCAACATATGGTATAAGCAGAGAACAATGGGGAACAAGAAAGAGATTTCTACACAGTGGATCAGGTTCTCGTTTTGGTTAGAAAAAGGGTATATGCTCTGTAAAATTTGACTAAAGAAAGATTCTTAACTCCCCAAGTATGTTAAAGTGAAACGACTTGTTTTCCACAAATTTCCAAGAAAAATTGCAGCATTGTTTAAGCCCTACTGTAGATGCAAATTTGCCAATAGATAATTAAGAAATCTTTTAAAACCTAACAATTGAAAATACGACATGATGATACCATATAAAAAAAATATGAAAATGAACGGTTTAAAATTTTAATAACAATCATATATGGTATTTGATAAAAATAATAAAAAAAATGTATTATGTGTTTTGCCTTCAACATGAGTTATGATATAATTAATTTCACATTTTACACATGTTAAACATGAAATAAATAGGCATAGACACACGAATTGCTAGATTAATTAGGCTCTACACCCTTAGTTGCAAACAGATTTAGGCACTCGGTATCCAGCATCACAAGAAAGTTGCAGTAAATGTAATGCTAAATGGCTAATTAATGTCAAATGCTGCAAAAAAGAAAGGACAATGTAAAACACATTATGGATATTTGTTACTTAACAAGCTTTTCTATTCTACATGCTGACAGCATAGAAAACAGAAGTGGGGAACCCAGTTCAAAGACCAACCATCGATCACAAAATTCAAGCTGATCAACAAAGGCTGAAATCTACCTTAATTTTCTTAATCCTGTAAACAACCTTTTGTCAATCTAGTTACGGTTTCCTGCAGAGAATGGAAGGATTGAGTAGTGGAAGTTCAATATCAATGTAATGGTGGTTAAGCACTTAAAATTATGACTGCAATGGAATCATCATCATAACCTGGTAGTATATTCTGAAATAACTTGAGGAACAAATAACTATGAAGTAATTACTTTTTATATGATTAACCATGGTTTTTATCACTGAATCTAATTTCTATGTTGTATAACATATAACATATATTTTGTATGCCATCATGTCCCACGAAGAACTATTTTTTGACTTGTGTGTCTTCTTCGAATCAAATTGCTCTGTTTTTTTCAAGACACATTTTCCTTATCGTTTTCAAGGCTTAATTAACAAACTCCAACTAATAGCTATTATACTACATCCAGTTTGAGAGGTCTTAATAAAATATTTTGTAACATTGCAATCAAACATAATATTAAAGATTATAATTAAATAATTAAAATAATTTTAGAATTACGATACAATTACCGAAATTCTTTTCTAAATTAGTGAGAATACTCAGTATATAAATAGGTATAGTATTTTCTCATACTAATAAATGCATGATTCCTTCTTTTCTAAGAATACAAGAGTTGGAATACAAGAATAGAACCATAATGAAAAATTTTCTTTAAAAATCCTGACTTTGTCCAACAGCTAAATTGAACACAATTGTATCTAATTACTCACAATCTTAAGTATCTTAATCTTAATTAGGTGCCACTGCATGTATTGTCACCTTCTTTTCTAGTCCTAATAGATGGGTTCTGTCACTCAATTTGTTCTACAAGCCCACAACTTGGCACATGATTCATAGGGCATCTATTTATTATAAAGCCTTGTCCTCTGCTCTCTAATTTGCTTTGAAGACTTTTGCCATATCGACCCTTCGTACACCTCATTGAAAATGAGCTTTCTGCCATATCAACGCTTATAACAAAGGAAAAAAAAAAAGAAAAAGCGCAGAACTGAATTAAAAGAGTGGAAGAAGCACCTGAAACTTTTTTTCTTTGACAGCAATATGCTTCTTTAAATTTTTAATTTAGAAATTATTCTAACCAATCTGTGTATTGTACTGATCCCAAATTAAAACCCCGGAAAGCTTGCAAGAGATACGGTGCTGCTAATTCTTTCTTTTCTATTTTAAACTTAGGGTACATCTTATAGTTTACATGTGTAATCAAGATAGATCAAATTAAATTTGAGCTCAATTTTATTTGAAAATTAAAAATTTAAAGCTAAACTAAATTTAAAAGTTCAAAGCTAGAAGTTTAACTTGAATTTAATCAAATTTTATTTTTTATGCACAAATTTAACTCGTAACTCAATTAAGTCGCTCAAAATTAATTTGATAAATTTTATTAGACTTGATAAAATTATAAATATTAATAACAAATATTATATTTTTGTCCCTTATTTATATATTAAATATTATTAAAAAAATAAATAAAACTCAATTAAATTTTATGAGTTTTTCTAATAAGTATTAAATTATTTGAATTCGACTTATTATTTAAATAATTCGAATTCAAATTCAATTCAAAATGAGTGAAACTCAAGTTCTGCATGGGATCTAAATAACTCATAAATAACTTGGGCTCATTTATATGTCTAAAAGTCATCTTAGTTTTTTGCATGCAAAGATACCGAATATATTGTTAAAATTATTATATAACGACCAATTTGTTTTTTTTTTTTTGAAGAATTTTATATAACGACTGTTAAACTCATTATCTAGTCATTATTATATTAAAATGAAAAATCCAATGATTGATCATTAATGTGTTGGCTGATTCATGTTTTACTTAAAAAAACTGAATTTGAATATCCAATCGCCCAATATAAAAAAAATAAGAAAAATATTCCATAAGACTATTTACCATTCTACATGAAGAAGGTTACAAGGACAACGTAAAAGCCCATAAAAACGTGGGTTTATAGCCCAACATTTATACCGAAAGAGTTATATATGCAGAGTGCTTCATGAACCATACAATAGTATCTTATAAAATTTTAAAAAGCAAATACAATTAAATCTTAAAAATATATTTAAAATTAATTTTGTAATATCTATATATTGACACTATTAAAATATAATTTTCTTATTATTTTCATTTTTTAAATTTATGGTACTAAAATTTATGAGAAAAATTAATATAAAATAACGAGAGATAGCCTTGGATGATGGAACCTTGGCACAGCCAGCTCATCGATCTGTATTATAAATTTGCTAACAGGAAATACAGAAGATTGCAAATGCTGATATAGCCATAGCTTCTGTTCTGGAAGTTGTATTACTTTGATTAAAGCAACTGGTTGTAAATATGACTGAGGTTTGAGAGAGAAAAAAAAAAAGTTCACTTCCCACCAAAGATGGATTTGTAGATTAAAAGAAAATATGCTACCATGGCTGCAAATCCTCATAAAGCTTCTTTTGCACCCATGTCTCAAGCAATCTTGTTTTCAGCAATGCATTTCAAGTCAATTTCACAGCACAAGTGACGGGGTTCATAAGCCAGTGAATTACGTTATACTATAAAAGAGATACAGGAAAACCATTCAAGTTGAAAAGGTGCAAGACAAAATGCACGTCCATCAATTGCTAGACAATAATATACAGGCTCCATAGAGTGGGACAAAATTGCAAAAAAAACACCAGGGAAAATTTGACGGGTAACCAGGCATGCACCAGATCTTATGCGCAATAGCGATGTTAATCAATATTGTCTTATGTCCGTTTAACAATAATCTGAATGAGACTCGTAGAAATCACTCGGGCAAGGTGACATCACCTCGTGTTCCAGCAACTGAAGTACCTGGCTCATTGTTGGTCGTTCATCTGGATTTGCATCAGTACACTTTGCTGCTATTTCAAGAATTGCTTCTACATTTTCCATGTCAGCATCAGTACAACTTTTATCAACTGCATCTTCCGATCGCTTCTCTCTCAATAGTGAATTCATCTGCAAACATTCAAGCAAAACAGAAAAACTTTATATCTAGAATATTCTCAGTCAAAGGCAACTTACTAGTTTTCAACGAAATTCAAACCATTCGTTAACTTAAGAAATATCATGATAGAAGAAGTTTAAGGAACTTACCCAGCCAACAACATTCAAGCCCTTCTTTACAAAAGTTGGATCAGTTGGCCTTTTTCCAGTTACGAGCTCCAGCAAGAGAACTCCAAAGCTATAGACATCCGACTTTTCTGTGGCTCTCCCACTTTGCAGATATTCTGTTCCATAGTACAAACAATAAGTCAATAATTACCATTTGCTGGGAATGACAATGTTGATGATGATCAATAAGTTTAAGCCTAACTGGCATATTGTTTGGAGTTACCAATCCCAAACAACAATTGTACAACTAAACACAAATTGGTGAAATTTGTGAGGCTTACAGATATATCACAAGATTTTCATATATCACAAGATTTTCACATTCCTAGAGGCACCAGTTATGTGCAAGAGGGAGTTTAATTGACAAGACAGGTAGAGGTTCTCACTGTCATATCGATAATATAATGTTGTTCAAGGAAACACTAAAAATATACTGAGCATCTATAGTCCGATGCATTGATCTGCTAATCACCCAAAACTCTTTTCCCACATCAGATAAACGAAATCAGGCAGCTGATACAATAATAATCATTGAAGAAGTTGTAGTTCAGATAATGGCATCATGCAGAAACATGAAACATTTATGATTGCAATGTTTCCTGATCCTTAGTGTAGCCTAACTACTCGACTTTTCAGAACTAAGAAAAACAAATGCATTGAATTATAGATCCTGTAGTGAAATTTATCTAGAAGAAAGTAAGTAGACAACCATGTAAAACAACAAAAAATGAGGGCAACTCAAAAATTCTAGAGGATGATCATAAGAGAGCAAAATATACCTGGAGCCAAATAGCCAAATGTGCCAGCAACCACAGTAGTGACATGGGCATCCTCATCCACCAAAAGTTTGGCAAGACCAAAGTCAGATACATGGGGCTTCAAATTTTCATCAAGAAGAATATTGCTGGATTTTATGTCTCGATGAACTATCTTTGGAGAACAGTCATGGTGCAAGTATGCTAGTCCACAGGCAGAACCAAGGGCTATTTTTAAACGAGAACTCCAGTTCAATGGCCTTTCTTCCTTGTGTTCTAAAAATGTAAATGACAGAACAGCACATAATTAAAACTAAGAATTTCATTATAATGTTAATGAATGCATATGATCTATTCAGGTGCATTCCCGAAGTTTGATTCACCATAGTTTGATGACATGGGATGGGTGTATTATAAATGAATGGTTGGCAGGTTGAATATAAAAATCCAATTCATAAAATGGATATATTATTAATACTGGCACCCCCTCTCCTGCATTAATAATCAGGAAATTTAGTGAAGTTTAGAGAGAAGTCCCCAAGTAATGCAAATTTAGAAAAATTGTGTAATGGTTTTATAACTGTTGAACATGGTGCTTGGCAAGTTGCTGTTTAGGCAGCAATTAAATAATTGTACAGATCATGAAAAAACCATATGAATGCCACCTCAAACTTTTCATGCCCTCGCAATTCTCCATGATACACCCTGTAGAAAGAACTGATATATTAAACTTCGCTAAAGCATACCATGCAGAAATTCATCCAAGCTGCCCATAGCAAGAAAATCATAGATAAGAAGCTTTGATGCTGGGAGCCTGCAGTAACCTCGCAGGTTTACTAAATTAATGTGCTTGATGCTGCCCAAGATCTCTAGCTCTCTCTCAAAGACTTGATCAGATCCTTCACGACTCCTGTCTATTCTTTTAACAGCAAATGTTCCACAGTCATTCATGACCATTCGATATACAGTTCCAAATCCCCCTGACCCCACGACATCCTCTTCATCAAGGGACTCCAACTTTTCTATAATCTCACATGATGGATATGGCAAATCCCCATGAAAAGTGATAAGTTTGGTGCCTACAAAAATAAAACAGTTAGGAGAAAAGTATTTGACACAGAGAAGGATTGGTTGGTCAGGTAAGGGGCAGAGGTTGGGAAGGGCAGGGGATTTCATACAAATGATAAATTTTGATAAATAGACCAACTTACTGGTATCTTGGTGGACTTGCTTTTTAACTTCTGTGTATCTCTTAGCAGCCCTTTCCTTCTTTGATAGCAGGCATATCCAGAGGAATGCAAGGAGCACAACAAGCACAAGGGCCATTGTGGACATTGCACCAATCAGCACACCTTTTATGTAATGAGACGATTGCTTCGTTGGGACTGCAGAAGTCAAAAAGGATAATCCCATATTACTACATAAAGCTTTTAAGAATTATAGCAACTATAGACACACATAATAACAAAACTTGCCTGATACTTCATCACTTTCAGCATGAGGTAGGACTGCTGGGAATCCCAGCGAGGTCCGACAAGGCTTGTAAACTTGTCGGCCACATAGATCCAAATTGCCAATAAACCTGTATATCATCGAGATAACATTCAGAACAAGCATATTGATGAGGTAGCACATTAGTTACTGCCTACAATTACATTAAAGTGAAAAGATTTTGAAATCTGGAGGATTTCCAGGATCTCTTGGCTTCCATGTGTAGCCACCAATGCAAACCTGGAGTCAACATATCCTATTGACTTATCCGATGAGTAATTTCTTATTGAATGAAATGACCATTTCAAATTTATCTAACACAAAGAAGCCCAAATAGCTTTTATGCTTCAAGAGAGCAAAAATCCTTGACACGGTAATTTTAGCAGAAGGCTACAGGTTTTGTACAAATAAAACTGTGAAAAGATGACATAAGACCACAACAGATAGCATACATGCAAGTACACTCAACGCTATTTCCAATTGGAATGCATCACAATTTTATCTTATTCATTTTGAGGCAAGAACTATATGTCAATATCCTTTAAAAAATTTGGTTGCCTTATGGTAAGATAAAGGCAGGTAAAACCCTTTCAGTAAATAAGATTCAAAGAATTATAAAATTTGAGCATTGCAGCTAACACTAGTATGTCGATCCACATATTATAGCAAGCATCGACATAAAAGTTGGTCATGGTGATGAGAAGGATACTTACGACTTGTTCCCAAAAGTGCTCAGAACTCCAATATCAGGGATTTCACCAGAGAAAAAGTTAGTGGACAAATTGCTGCCACAATAGCAACCATCAGAAGGTTAAGAGACCTAATTTACTTTGTTTTGAATTGCATTACTAAATAAATTCTAAAACAATTCAAATTAATATCAGCAAGAAACAATTCAAATTAACTTACAGAGAACGCAGTCTTGTAAGACGGCCTATAGATGAAGGTATAGCACCCTTTAGAGAATTGCTTGATAAATCCCTACGCAAAATTTTCCAGCAAGCAATCATGAGTATTAGCCTATAAAAACTACACTAAATTGCTAAATAATTGATATTTATGCATTCTGACTAAAGAAACAGTAGCATATTCAGGGATCTTACAATATAGTGAGAAAAGAAAGGTTTCCAATATTTGATGGTATACCTCCTTGTAGATAATTAGCTCTCAAGTAACTGTGCAGACAGTGAATTGAACATGTAAGTGCATCTAATGCAATGCTCCAGAGAGGAAAAAATGTGAAAATGAGAGAAGAAATAAGACAACTCTAAAAAGAGGGTTTTGCTTACAGGGCTCTCAACTGAGTACAATTGGTAAGTTCATTAGGAATTAGTCCATGTAAACTGTTCTGGTGCAGTGCCCTGTATACCCACCAAAATGAGGAAAAAAAAAACCAGAATCAGAATCAGCCCACTACTTCTTACATTACTTTCTATATGTTGAAAAATGGGAATTGAACTCACAGTCTTTGCAATCCATTGAGTTTGCCAATGCTGGGAGATATTGTCCCTCCTAATTGCATGTACGGTAGGTTTCTGTTGAACCAACCCATAAGAAAAAATGACGGTATTAAAGCTGAAAAGAGCTAAGAGAAAATGGACAAAGTAAAAGCAGTGAATGATCAAAGAAAGAAGGGATGTGGTTTACATTGAATGAACTCTTTGATCATTAGGATAACAAGAAATGCCAGTCCAACTGCAGGGTGACTCGTCAGTAGCTAACCAGTTTCCGAGAAAGTTTTTACTGTCATTCAATGTGCTTTTGATCTCCAACAATGTTAGACCTTAAAAAATCAATATCAAATCAGATCAAAGAAACCAAAAGTTCAACTCCACTTCATTTCTAAGCGATTAAAAAAATTCAAAACTCAAGCTGAAAATTTAGAACTTTCCCTCTTTTGCCTAACTTTCACATCACCAGCAGCCAACAGAAAGAGAAAAAGACAAGCTTTAATGTTTCCTTTTCGAAAAAAAAAAAAAAAACAAAAACAGTGTTGGATTTTTAGTCAATACCATCTTGTGTGAGAGCAAAAGAGCCGGAGCTCCAAATGGTGGCTGCAAAAATCATAGAGAATAGCCAAACCAGGACTCTCATTTTCCAATTCTCCTTCCTTCCAGCTTAAGCTTGTGGAAGTGTTATCAGAGAGAGAGAGAGAGAGAAGAAGCTATGAAATTTTGATAAACAAAAGTGAGGTAGAGTTCAGTGTGCAAAGTGACACTAATGAATAATAGTCAAGAACTACTATGATTAAACTAATTATTATATCAAGCACGAGAGAGTAGTAAAGAGGAAGGGAGCTGTTCTTTTTTCCACCAATACCAACATTTTATCAACACAAACTAAAGACACCCATTTTGAAAATTTCATGGAAAGTTGTGCAGACAGGTGTAGCCGTTGTCCCAACACATAAAAATTCAAACAGATTCACAAAACTACGACACTCCCGAGTACTCAACAACGATTTCAACTCGCTACAAAGTGTAGCAAGTTGGAAATTTTTTGAGGGTTCTTTTTCCTATTAGCGGCAAAAAGGCTGAAACTTGTGCATGTGTCAAACGATGGGTGGAGAGTAGAGTGAAATGAAAAAGTGGGGCTTTTGATGGTAACTTTGGCTTGAAAAAGCCTGAGACTGCATTGAAACCTGTCTGACTGACTCGCTGACAGCGTTCCAAGAATGTACGGATCTTTGTTTCATTATAATGTACGTATGTAGTAAAATAACGCTGCACTGTATATCTAGGTGACCTGTAAATCTAGGTCACCTTACAGGATCCGATTTGAGATTTGTTGCAAAACTAGTGGAAAAAATTAGGTTAAAGCCTGTATTTGCTCTTTGTACTAATTATTTCAACTATATTTTATATAAAATAAATATAATACTAAATTGGCGCATTTATTCTTTTGGTTGATTCTTTTGTAATTTGTTTTTTTAGTTTATTTTTATTTTTTATACTTTTTATGTAAAAAAAGGAAAAACATAAAAAAAAATCATAATAAATATGGGCATTAACTAAAAAGTTGATGAAAATGATTTGAATTTAGACTAGGAAAAAAAAGAGGCATAAGTAATAGTTTGAAAAGCTTGACACCTAAACCTAACGACACAAAGCAAAGTCCCCAACTCAGAAATCATGGCAAGCTTTATCCATTTGGAAGTTTGTAATACAAGCGAAAGGTTGGCCCTACCGTCATTCCCTTTAACATTCTCATTTCCGATCCTACAATGATCAAGCTATCAAATTTTGTTTGTTTCACAAAAGAATGTTACAGTTGGAATCTAATTTTTTCTTCTTATAAATATCTCTACTTCAATCTCATTCCATTTTTTATAACTTTTATTTCAAGTGACCATAAAATTATGTTGTTATGCTGTTTTTTACAAAAAAAAAAATTTATAAATTTTGATATTTAAATTTTAAATTTATTAAATATCATGTTTTAAAAATAATTATATAAATTAAGTGAATTGAATTTTAAAATTTCCTACTTTTTTTTCCCTTGAATAAGAAAAAGCATATCATTTATAAGATTTAATATTTAATGTTGATTATGAGACTTAATCTAAATGGTTCATCCATCATATTTTGGAGTTAAATTTCAGTAAGATTGAAGTTCAATTCACAATATTTGCAAATTTTTCTTCCCCAATTTTTTTAAGGTTTTGATCTTATATGTAACAAAAAAAATTTTGATGTTGGAAACATGTATGATAATACGCGTGTACATAAGTCACTAAAAACATAAATGAAAAACTCTTAAATAAAGTGGTTACTTAAGAACTAATGATGCATTCTTTGATATGGGAGGTTCATCTCAAGTGGAATAAAAATGTTGGTCAGGATCAAAGTATTGATCTGTTGAATGTAACATTGCTTTTCAAAATCGTTTTCCCTATTCAATCGAGTGAAAATAGACTAATCTAATAGAATATAGTAAGAATTTTAATGCATATTTACATTTACACAAAAATTTGAAATTTGAAAAATAAAAGAAAAAAAATTTGAGTCAAATGATAATTTTAATTTATAAGAACTTGAATTACATTTTCACGCCTTTGAATTATTAACAGTACTAATTACGCCGACTCATTATGAGTGCATGTATTTCATGCTCGGGTCAAAAAATTTTTCTACTAAATTATAAGAAAAAAAAAAAAAACTTATGAGAAACCTGATACATTTATATTAATATTAAAGTGAATGATTGAGTTGTTGTAAGGTAGGACCTAATTAGTTAAGACCTAATTGAGATGTACGATTATTATAATAATTAAAATCAAATTGATAATTATTCAATTGTGATTTTGTTTTAATCAAATCTTTTTTTATTATATCTTTTTTTTTTTAAATTTGGTAGGTACCAAAATAATATTACATACTTAATATATTTATTTTGTTTTATATATTTATATTTACATTTTGTATACTTATAATTATAAGTTTTGTATTTATATGTTGCATCTAAATTTTTTTAATCATTAAGTAATAGATTTGATATTTTAAAAAATAAAAACAATTTACTATTATAAAATTAATTTTACTTCATGTAAGTATTTGAGGATATTGGCTTGTTAATGATAAAATGGCTTTTAAATGAAGTTTTAATGGAAGAACTAATAAATGACTAACGGGAAAGACTTACTTGTCTTGTGAAATTGAAAAGTTTGAGATTAACCATCTATTTTTCAAATTAATAAATTTATGTTGAATTATATTCAAAATTAAAAGACCTGGATATGGATCAAATATATAGGAATATTAAACTGGATATGGACAAAAGTAGAACGAATAATTTCTTGCAATATAACATAAATAAATGTTTGTAAATTATTAAGAGCAATCTTGATCAATCTTATTATTTAACCGCTACTGATTATTGCATCTGTATGAATAATAATTAAGCTCAAAAGAAAGGGGAAAAGTTCTATAAGTTAAACACAAAAGGCAGAAAGAATGGATAAACAATGATTAAACATTCAAAATTGAATGCAAAAGAGAAAAAAAAAGGAGGAAGAAAGCATTCAAATTTGAAACTTCATGAATGGTTTTTTTTTTTTTTTTTAATACAAAGTTGATAGGAGTTAATTACATTAATGGAAATTAATGAAGTACATTATTGGTGATGCATAAATTAAAGCACTCGATGAAGATGACAAAGATGAAGGGAATGATGCTACTAGATAGCAGTGAATGTAACATCAACCCCATCAACTGGTGCTGGATGCGGAAGATAAATCAGATCTGCATCTGGATTCACCAGTTCCCACCTGAAATTTCCATTTAACAGGACACTAAATGATGGATCAATCATAACTTACAATTAAGCATGCTTATACAAAAGCATCGAGAGAACATTACTTGTATCCAACAGATAAATGGTGAAGAAGTAACGCAAGTTGTATACGAGCAAGCATGTTTCCCGCGCACATTCTGGGTCCACCCCCAAAAACCTGATACGCAATAGGCCTTGGAACTAATTCCTATAGTTAAGAAACCAAAATCAAAGTCATTGTTAAGTAATAGGATATAGGTGACGAAATTTCTCAGCCATGTTATCAATATTGTGCACTTACATTCCACCTGTCAGGATTGAAGCACATTGGATCCTCGAAGTTTTCTGGATCTGTGTGGAGGTATCGGAGCCACAATATTACTTTCCAATTCTTTGGTATCTTATAACCTGCATTTTTGCATAATATGATTTGAAAATAGATCCGACAATTTTAAATATGATATGAAAAATTGTAAAAACAATATGATTTAAAATTTTAACAAAAATTTAATATGATTTTAAAAAATAAAAAACATATTTTATATTTCACGTGCCGATATGAATTAATTATGATAATTTTTCGTATTTACACGTATTTAACAAGATAAAAATATTATATGGATACACAAATTATTAGCACTACCTGAAAATGTAAACCAGGGAATTTATCTCATTCATATTAGGATGCAACTAGCATGGTTCATTGTCAATTCTCTAATACCTTTATACTCTACTTCTTTGGTAACCAAGCGGAAAATAAAACCTGAAACGTTGGCCAATCTTATTGTTTCTTCCACAACCTGTACAGTCCAAAAAGACCATTTTCATCAGGTATTGGCCAGGGTTTCTCAAAGAAAGAACTAAAAATAATAATAAAATGTGTCCAATTGAAAGCTTGGCAGACCTTGTTGGTGTATTTCAGTTTAGAAATATCTTCACGTGTAATGAATTCTCCTTGCTTTTTCTTTCTCAATGCCATGTTCTCCTCCTGCAGTTCGACACCAGAAGCAAAAGATGAGGCAGAAAGGAAGAAATTTCGGTTGCATAATAATTACTTTGGTCATGAAAATGGAGGGGTCGATGGTGGTACCCGGAGCTCTTTCAGTACTTTAGGGAACTTGGCGAGGTAATAGATAGCCCACATTTGAACAAGGGCAGTAGATTTATATCCACCAATAACAAGGCTGACAATGTTATCTATCACCTCTTGCTCACTTAATTTATTACCTTCATCGTCTATAATTTCCATCAACCCATCCATCAGATCATTGTTTATGTTAAACCCATTCTTCTTCTTCTCTAGCTCAACCCGGAATATCGCCTCAAGTCTCCTCCTACACTGCTAAAAGCCTGAAGCTGTTATATATCTTGAAACTTGTTCCATTCAAATCAATTGTTCCAGTTTTTTTTAGGTCAATCTATTGCAATATTGCATATTTATATTATATATAACGCTTGTGGAATTGGCATTGTGAACTAACCTGAAGGGCACTGTAAAAGGCAGTTCCCGGAAGGTTTAATGGATAAGCTCTAATTCCTTTAATCACCTCATCAAATAATTTATCCATAGTATCTAGAAGAGGCCCTGGTTCAATGCTTGCAAACATTTTTCCAATATTCTCAAAAGTCAACTATATGCAAAAGGCACGAAAACAAAGAATATTATTAGTAATATTTGGTAAAGCTTCCACGTCTATATGCCAATATAAGAAAAAAAATTATAAACGACTTCATATTGATATCAAGGAATAGGATGAATCAAAATAAATTTATGAAAACTATTAGTAATTCGATCCGGCTTAGGTTATTATTAAGGTTAGTTAAATTTATGTATACCCGTCTTGTTTCATCATTGGCGTTGATTCTCCCCTTTCGGGCCCATGATTGGAGGGCAGCTGCCAATCGGGGCTGCACCGCAGCAGCAATATAGCTCAGAGCATTGGGGCGATTGATGGCATTGACGACGTAGCTCCTGAGCCTGGCATGTGCTTTCCCATTGCTGTTCGCCAGTGATTGACGCCCGATGGTATCAAGATTGGGCCAATGCGGCATGAAGCTGTCATCAGATTGGAGTGCAAATTTGCTGAATGATGGGAAGC